AGCCTCAAACGGATACGCGAGTGGGAGCGGGAGTGAAAGTGGTAGCTGGAGCGAGAGTATATCATATACCCATCATCAAGCCAGCCGTAATGAGCGGCATGACGCCGCGGAGGGTGTTGGCAGGATGGGCGGGCGTGGGGCGGGGATAGGGCTGTCGTTATACGCTTGCACGCTAAAAATGAGTTAATAAAATGCGTATGCGTAATCAAATTATATGTCAAGTGTGTTGACAACGAATAACATTCAACGTTAATGTCAACGGCGACTGCGACGGCGACGTCAGCTGCGGCTGCGGCTGCGGCAGCGACGACAACGACGACGACGACGGGCATGCCCGTATGTAGTTGCAACATCATCATCATCATTATGAGGCAAGTCAGTTAACTGAGCTCCAAATGCGATTTTAATGACTCGAACAAAGAGCATTTAAGCAAGTTTATTGCCTCGATGAGTTTTCATCTTTTTTTCCACGCTTCTGCTTTTTTATTCTCTGCCTCCTTTTCCCGAAACAAACGAAAATAATGTTCATAAAGTTGGGATTGCCTACTGTGGACTCTACGCGGGGTTTTGGGTATTGCAAAGTCCTTGTCCACGGGGCCAAGCTCTTGAATGGAAGTAAGTCGGCATTGAAAGAAAGCGCTGCCTTTTATATACTCTTTAACAATTGAAAATGTGGTAATGATAATGATATTGTGCAAAAGTGTGCAGCAGGAGGCTTCTCGATATGCACGTATATAATCTCCATCAGCCTCATCAGTCAAACAGAAACTAAACGCGGCGCGATCTGAAGAATGAGCTGGCTTTCATGTACTCTGTACCCATTCAAAATGGGGTAGAGTATATGTATATATACAGGAGACTTCTTCTGTTCGTCAGCTTCGTCGTGTGGCTGACTAATTGACGCATATCCGGTTCCGGCCTCTGTGTGCGTGTCTCTGTGGTCCACTCTGCTTGTAACAAAAGAGGCTCCAAGTGCAACTTTTGTCATATCAAATATGACTTTCACTGCACTGGCCCAATTGAATTAAGCGCTTTGCCAAAAGCCAAGCGCTCTCCCATCCCGACTGCTTGGCCCGACTCACTAGCTGATTGGTGACCAGCGCACAGATCCTTAAGAGCTGCGGAGCTGACGTTTTTACTTAATGTTTCCTTTGGGTCGAAAGAAAGCACTTGGACGGGCTTTTGGGCAAACACGACTATCATTTGTTATAACAATAATAATTACAAGGTAAGCACAGAAGGATCGTGGCATTTAGAGCGCTGTAATTAAATGTTCAAGAATTAAGAATTTGATTCGGATTTGATTTCAACAATATGTTATTGGAGAGGATTGTTGTGGCTAAATTATTATGGGATTGCATAGATGCGTGTCGAACGGCTTTAACGAAGTGCAGGCAGACAACTGCACGTTGGCAAATGCTAGCATAATATATTGAAATACATTTGAAAATATTTATTTCATTACCTGCAGCTACAAATAGACCCGCGAGAATTTTGCCACATTTGTTTGGCTAATGCCCTGTCAGCCATTCACCTGATATCATTTGGGGCAAAAAAATCGTATTGGTTTTTGCCTTCGCAAAACACGGGCAAGCACGAGCTCTCGCACACACACACACACACGAGAGCGAGCATATTTATCAGAAGTAAATTAAATTGCTCTTCTCTACCCCCCCCCCCCCCACCACACACACACACCCACTTTTCTCCTAGACCCAGCAAAAGCTGCCAAAAACGAAAAAAAAACTCTGCTGAAAAATGTCATAAAATTGCCAATGAAAATATATATATATATATATATATATATATATATATATAACAAAAAACAGTAAAAACACAATAATATGTGTAATGTAAAAAACGCTGCAAAAATACTTTTAATAAATTAAATGTAAATTGTTTGTTATAAATTATTCACAAATAAATGATAAGATAAAAATGCAAAGGGCAAGTGAAACAAGAATATATGTATATATATATAAATATAAACATAACGTAGAGGGTTAATTTGTATGCTTTCAGATTAATATGGATATTTATTTATATATATATATATATATATATATATATATATATATATATATATATCTTTATATCTTTTTATGCCTTCATTTGCGATTGGCAATTAAAGCGGCAATTGGTTTTATGCTGATTGATACGAATATATCAGGAGCAGACTGCTTTATGCATTGAATTATAACATAATCAAATTTATATTGATAGCCGTCCATGCGTATTTAATGTGTCTCTAAAGGGCCGAGATGCTAATTTGCTTATCAGCATTCGATTCGTGGCAAATGCATTCATTGCCCAGCAAATACTTGCCTCACTTGTTGCGACAGAGCCACTGACAAATGAGTGCAAGAAATGTTTTGAGCTTGCGAAGGATATTTGTTAAGCTCGAAATACTTGCTAGACTTGTGTGAGTAAAGCGTATCGGTATTCGAGACAAATGAGAATAAAGACGCTTCTTATCGTTTCATAAAATTTTAATCTCGTGTCTTCTTTCAATTTGCTTGCACATGCTTACAGATTTGCATTTGTTTTATTTGTTTCTGAGCAATGATCGAATGATCTCGAATTGCTGCTTACTTGATCTTGGCTGACTATTGAAAAGCTTTGGTCCTTGCACAATTCAAGTCTCGCGCTCTCTTTCATTTCATTTTCGAAGTTATAGAAGTTTCAAGCCGCATTTGAAATCATCGAGTGCTTCGTATTCACAAATACATTTGTTTCATTTGGTACTGAGCAAATACGCAGTTTTTCATTGCCAAATTGAAGTTTCTGCCCAGATAGCTTCGCTTTCAGATACTACTCCATTAATAAAATCCCGCTCAAACGTTATTCAATTCAATTTATTTCGGCTGAAAAAATAGAAATATATCTAATTGATTCCAAAAGCCACAAGCAAGACAATTGGAAATGAAACACAATTTCAATTTCAGATGTTTGACTAAATTTTCATGATGTATTTATTTGTATATATATATATATGTATATAGTATATGTATGTATATATATATATATATATATCCCCCTATACATATACATATATATTAATGCTATATATATATTTATATCTATGCGAACTGCGATATTTTTGTTGCTTTGCATTCAATTAGTTTTTATTTTTGTAATACACACAGAAAAAAAAAACATACATTCATATTCAAATATAAATACATATCGATGCGTATATGTCGAGCATATCGCGATCCGTATTATATAGTCTGTTATTATATAGATGTGTATGTGTATGTGTATGTGTGTATGTTGGTGTGTTAATTAACATTTACTCGTATGGGTTGACTAAAATTAAGTACATATACTATATTTAGTTGCCGCTGCTGCTGCTGCTGCTCCCGCTGACCTAACGGCTAGAGTTGAACTTACAAAGCTAGAAATCGACACGAAAAAAAAAAAAATAATTCGTATCTCAATTAATTAGTTTGATTTTACTTTTTGTTTTCACTAGATTAGAGGTTTACTTTACTCTATTTCTTTGTATTTATATTTATTTAACTTTGTATATTTTATTTGGTAATTTTTTTTGTTGTTTTTTGTTTTTTTTTTGTTTTCACTTGTTGATATAGTATTAGAGAGTGTGTTTTGAAGTGGGGCTTAATTGTAATTACATGAACTTATGCTAAATATTTGGTTTGCTTTGTTTCGTTAAATGAGTATGACAGTATGACAGTATGACACAATTGCAATATTACAAAATAAATGCAACCATGCGTTTTTCATTCTTGTTTTTAGGTTAATCTCTTTTTTTTTGGCACTCTATAATACCTTTTTTTATACATATATTTTTGAATTTTTTTCATTTTTTTGTTTTTACTTTTTCATTTGTTGTTCATTTGTGCCACAACCCATAAATTTAAAGCGTCGTTTTGGTATTTTTTTTTTTTTTTTTTTGGGATGTTTCATCTCGTAACCCTTTTTGCATCTATTCGATTATTTTAATTTAAAGCCACAAATTGAATATGGCAAAAAATTAACACACCCACGTGGACACACAGACACGCACACAAATGAACTGCGCTTGAGTACTAAAAATGTAATTTATTTTCAATTAAAATACAAAAATCAAGTGTCCCACTCGGTTGTCAGTGGTCCCTCTGCCCCCACCGCCAAAGATGAAACTGACATTTGAAGCCGTTCAATTGTGTACAATCAAAATGCATTTAAAAAGCATTTAAACCTAATTGCTGTGCAGCATTAATACAACAATAATATCAATGAAAAATAGATGAAAATTAAGCAACAACAACAACAACAACAAAAATCCCGAAACTGTCAAGCACAGCAAAAAGAGCCAGGTAAGCATATTACAAACGGATGCACCTAACTGCTTTGTACTCGTCCGCACTGCCCAAAAAATTTTTGAAATGGGCTACAAATTATTGTTTTTTTTTCCCCGAATCGCATAATTTTTGGATCAGGCCTTAAGAGTTGTCAAGATATAGCCTAGCTCTGCAGAGTAGCCCGATATAGCCGCTTTCACATTGTTAGCGTGTATGGAAGGCAAAAATAGAATGTTATTCAGAGCATTTTAGCTAATTTTATGCGCATGTCGAAAGGTAATTGATGGCACTTTTGCTGTTTTTTCCCAATTCGTAATGGGCTTAGTTCGGAATTAGCATCAGCAATCGTTTGCCTAATTTGAAAACAAGAACAAAAAAGAAATGTCAATAACTTTTAACCGCTTGCCAGTTCGTGCTATTGTTTAACGCTCGTACCCGCCCCCAAAGTAGTACAAAAACTGTTATACTAGGGTAAAAGAATATTGAATTTGTGGAATGTCCAACTTGCTGTTCGTTCGTCCGGCCGACTTCCGACTGTAATATGCTTAATTAATCAAAACTGTTATACAGACGAAACTTTTATAACAGCTGCTCAAACTGTTATACACTACTTTCACAATATGTAAATATGTTTTGCCATTAAAAAATGTCGCATTCAAATCACTGGCAATGTGTGTATAACAGTTAAACTGTCATACTGTTATGCTGCAACAAAGGCCAAAGGCCCAAGCCGCATGGATTGAACAAAGCGCAAGAAAAACAACAACAAAAAATTAAGAACAACTAGTAAAACTTAACTAAACATAACAAAACAAACTAACTAACCAACAAATCGCTTAACTAAACTTTGTCCTTTTCGCGGATTGCATACAGTTTGTCATTTTGCCACCAACCCCGCCCTTCCTTGCACAATCCCATTGCCTGCGCATTTTCGGATTGTGCAGTTATTTATTATTCATCGTTTAAGTGGTATGTTGCACACATTAATTAATTTCTGTTTTCACTAACTTTTTTTTTTTTTTTTTTTTTTTTTTTTTTTGTAGTTGTCTGACTTATTTATGCATTCTGCATTTTGGATTTTAATTTGATTTTTGTTTATGCTTTTGCTTTCGCCATTCAGATTTCAATATATGTTTTATGTGTTTCTTTTGTTTTTGGTATAGTTATCTTCTACATAAGTGTATTTACAACAGGCATTAAATGTTATTTTTAGTTTTTTTCTGTATATATACTTATACCCTGCACCCTTTGAATATGGAATAAAATGGGTATAATGCATGCAACAGGCGTAAGCACGCTTCTTCGAACTCATCAAGGATATCTATTCATGATCAGCATCAAGAACCGCCTCAAACACAGACACTATTCAAGCTAAAGACTGGAAATTTGAATGCGGAATTCGCACTGTTTTCACGAAATCGATAAATATCGATTTTCAGTTTTTAGTTTTCTATGCATATATCGAAATTTATCTGATTTGGTGTTTCGTTTATTGTTACCGATTTCGAATATGTATATTTTTAGATAAGTTTTTTCGATTTTCTCCAGATTTGCAAGAATCTAAGCTTTCCTAGTTAGCGCTTTATGCGCTGAAAATTTCATAATGATCGGACTATGAACAGCTGAGTTATCCAAGAATGCATTTTACTATAATCTTTTGTGTTACGGAGGGAAGAAACAGCTCTATGTGTGTGTGTGCGTGTGTATGTGTGTGCTATGTACCTGTCTGTTGGTATATGTGTGCATGAAAGGAAATTTGAGTTTTTTTCACAACATCTCGGTATCGTTCGGGTACAGGGTATCCATCTAGTCGATCACAGCCGACTAGAGCACACTCAATATTTTATTTATGGTATTTTATTTTTACTTTTAGTGTTTGCTGTTTACACGCATATTTTATAAATATTTGCTTAACTTACATCATTTGCATAACACCCTCAAAGCGCGCTGTTGTCGTAGCCCACCTGCTCAGCTAATTAGCACGCAGTGGCTGCCGATTGCTGCCACGCCCTCTTGGTGTGCATATACTTACAGTGTGAGTGTGTGAGCCAGTTAGTCGACCAAAACACAACTGTGTGGGCGGGCAGGCAGACTTAGACGCGGATTACCTCGCCCGGCGCCTGCTTGGGGCAGAGCTCGTTCTCGATGCTGTCGCGTAGTCGCAGCGCTGCGTTCAGCTCGGCGTCATCTGTGCCGGCCGCTTGTCAGCTGGTTGGTCACATGAACAAGTCGGCTGTGGTGGCGCCGCCGCTTGATTTGCGCGGCGTGGTTGGCACACCGTGCGGACAGTGTGTGGCTGTCGCTGCAGCAGCGGCGGCAGCGGCAGACTTCGACTCATCCTCGAAAGTGACCATTTTTTCGCTGCGCGGCTTCAGTGTCATTATTTGCAGCTGAGCGGGCGGCGGCGGTGGGGGTGCTGCTGATGTCGTGGCGCCGCCTGCGGCAGCGGCACAGAGCAGCGTCTGCGGCGGTCCCAGCTGTAGGCCGTGCGGCATGCCCATTCCCATGCCCATGCCCATGCCCATGTTGAGGCCCATGTTAACGCCAACGCCCATGGGCAGACCCATGCCGGTCATGTTGTTCGGCGAGAAGCGGCGCGGCGGGGGCAGCGCCAAGTCGCCAACGCCGGATAGATTAAATTCGCTAATGCTGCGCGGCACAAAGTACTCCATGTGGTGCTCCGGTATGCCTGTGGAGCGTCTTATGGGCGTGTTCCGTTGAAAGGCCGATGATGAGGCGCCCATTCCGCTGCCGGCCCCGCCCCCGCCATTGCCAGCGCCCATACCTCCGAGTCCATGCATGTGACTGCGACGTGGCAGCGAGCTGTACTGGGTCAATGTGTGCGCCGGTCCAAAGAACATGGTCTGATGCTGGCCCAGATTGTTGGCCGCCTGGCCGCCAGCCGTGGCAGCTCCAGCGCCCATTAGTTCAGCGCTGGGTCGTTGTCAGGAGGGCTTGGGCGTTACAGCCACTGAGACGAGAGCCAGCTCCTCGGCCTTGGGCGTTACATGATCCTGAACGCTGAAACGGCGCAGCCACATAACAATCTCCGTCTGGATCAGGCTGAAGCACATGGCCACCACGGCCATGCCCACCAATATATAGGCCGAGGCCGTGTACAAGGTCAAGGTGCCGCTGGGTGCCAGCTCACCAAAGCCGATGGTGCCCAGCGAAGTGAAGCAGAAGTATAGGGACTCCAGAACGCTCCAGTTCTGCAGCTTATGGAACAGTATCGCACCGCTGGTCACATAGCAGACAAGGACACACACACAGATCGAGATGGGCACACTTGGGGAACTGCGTCCGCTGCCATCTGAAGCTGACTTTCTGCCCTGCTGCTGCTGCTGTTGTTGTTGTTGTTGTTGCTGCTGTTGTTGCTGCTGTTGTTGTTGCTGCTGCTGCTGCTGCTGATATACCGAGGGTGGGAGACCGTATTGGTGGAGCTTGGCCGCCGAATGACCGTATTGCTGTCCCTTGGCCTTGTCCGATTTGCGACTGCCGCTAGGCCCGGCTGTGGGGCCGCTGCCGCTGGCAACGCTGCCCTTGGCACGTTGACGCCGAAACAGGCAACGCATGCCGGCGGACAGTGCCTCGCCCATCGCGGACAGATACAGCAGCACGATGGGTATGCCGAACAGGGCGTAGACAAGGGCGGCTACGCGGCCCCACTGGGTGCGGGGCGAAATGCCGCCGTAGCCTGTAATGTAAGAATTTGGTGTGAGTCTATGGGTAAAATGGGTATTGTACTGAATTTGTACAAATGTTTAAATATTAAATAACTCATAATGTATATATATTATTGATCAGCATCAATAGCCAATTCGATCTAGCCAAGTCCGTCTGTCCTTCCGTCCGTCTGCCCTGCTGCCCGTATGTCAGTCTGTCCGTATGCACAAAAAGATCTGTTGTTGAAAATTTCATCAAGATCGGTTAAGAAACACACAAGAAGAGGGTTCAGGGTATCCCCTAGTCGGTAACTCCCGACAAGAGCGCCCCTCTTGCTTGGTTTACATTATATTTTAACTACTTTCATAACACATGAAGTGGCACTCAGATGGTTTGTATTTTATTTTATTTTATTTTATTATTTTTTTTTGCTAGAAACTTTATAGCATATTCCTGAACATAACATAACATTACCATTGGATTAGCACAGTGGCAAGAGGGGCGGGGAGGGGAGGGGAGGAGCGGCAACTACCACCTCAATAGAGTAATTTGACTGCTGGTGTTACAGCTACTGCTGCTGTTACTGCTACTGCTACTGCTGTATTACCGGCTACAACATTTTTAATTTTTCCTGTGTCGGCCACAAAAGAAAGAGAGAGAGAGAAAGAGAGAGAGAGAGAGAGAGAGAGAGAGGAAAAAACAACTTATATGGCCAGACGTTTTGCTTTGACTGTGTCTTTGATGTTATCGCCCTGCATTAGTGCAGAAGGGGGCGCGCGAGCAGGGGGGCATCCATGTAGTCGTTACAGCCGCAGGGCACGACCTAACCCAACATGGTGAGCCCTACCCAAAAGATTCTTGGACCATCAGCGGCGCCGTCTCACGCTTCGCCTGCCTCAGCAATGAACTTTTAATGTGGAAACTTTTATAATTGAGTAAAATGTGCGTATACATATAAATGTGTGCATGTGTACGTCCGTGTGAGTGTGTGTGTGTGTGTGTGTGTGCGAGTGTGTGTGTGTGTAAAGCGACTATGTAGCCATGTATTAAATTTTATTACTTAAAAATAAAAGGCCAGCACAGCGACAGCTATTGTATGAGCAGAGAGTAAAACGTTGCTTGACGCTTACAATTCACAACAAGTTAAAGCTTCGACAGAGACAACCTCGCGGCGAAAGCAAAGTAGGTGGAGGCTAAAACCAAGAGGTACTTTATAGTGTTTATAGACTCTAAAACAAAGTCTATTATTGAGTTATAAAATGTCATCAGCTGGCTGTTTTTTCACTGCACATCTGCATTTACAGGGTATTCTCAAAAACAAGAACACACATACATTTGTGCATATCCTTAGCGAATGCCTTTGTAGCCTTAATGCAATAATACTTTAAAACCCGAAGCACGTTTAAGTGCACATGTAACAGAGCGAAACCCAGAGAGAGAGAGAGTGCGCGAAAGAGAGAGGGAGGAGAAGATGGCTAGAGCAGTAGCGGGTGGGAAAACGAGCTGAACGGATGAGCTGGACGATGGTCCGCTATGAAAAAGTTGCTAAAAATTATCATCATCCAAGCGCCAACCTCCCTTCACCTTGCCACCTTCCCAACTGGCAACATACTCCGTCAAGCTGTATCAAGCCAGAAAAAAAAAAAAAAAAAAAGAAACCAACGAGTTTTGCTGCCCAGGCTGCCCCATGGTCAGGAACACGCTTTCCCGGAACACACACTACCCCCTCCCGGTCGTTAGGTTGTAGCTCATGAATTTGCACCCGCAGCGAGCGCTGGGCAAAAATTGTTAGTGAAAATTATAACATTTACAATATGGTCTGCATAAAATTGTATGTGGTTATAACTAACTAACTAACGGCGGGCCCATGTCGGCCTCCGGTTGAGTATGATGCCTTCACCCGCCTTGCCGCCCATCTGGCGTCCATGTCTGCAGTGAACACATGCAATACTCGGACCTATAAACTCATAAAGATTTCTATTTGGACCCTGACGACCCGCAGGCCCGGCAAAAACTGCCAATTATGTTTAGCAATTTTCAAGTTTTCCCCAGTTAAACTATTTGAAATATGGTTTTTCTGCTTCATGTTGTTGTTGTTGTTGTTGTTGTTTTGCCATGTGCCATGTGCTTGGCCTGTTAATGGGCTGTGGCAGGAGCTGCTGGCTGCCTAGCCGGGGGGGCTGGACCCCGTCCACAGACAGCTCTGCCATCTGAAAGTTGTCTAAGCCGCATGACATGCAGATTAAAGCAGAATATTAAAAGACGAATTTGACTTGCCAAAACGTTCGCCTTTTGCACAGCTGACTCATGGATGCCCCCCGCCCGCATAGATTGCATATGCAATTTAATACAATTTTTAAAAACATTAAAAAAAATCCAGTCGGAGTTGAACCAAAGCCCCGACCTATCATCACAATTATTCCAGCCTCTTTCGGTGCACGCATTCCTCCCCTCCGCATCCTCCCACCACACAATGGCAAATGCGGTCCGATCTTTGGGAAATGCTATATACGCATATGCATATGGAAAGTTTATCAAAATGTGAAATACCCTGGATTTGGGTATACTTTCAGAATTTCGACTCATCTCTAGCTGGCCCCTTGATTTGACTTAATTTAATAAGTTTCTTAATTGGCACGAGAATTCTCGCGATATTTTCTGGCCGTTGTTGTCGCTTTCGGCTGAGTGACTTTTCGTTCGGTTCCTATTTCGCTGCCATCAAAGTGAAAAGCGGAAAGCGGAAAACAGAGAGTGGGACTCCTGTTCGTTGGGACTTTGAGTTTCCGGTTCATGGCAAAGTGGCCACCGGTTCCGTTTTAGCCAGAGGATTGCCCAATTTTGCGCGAGCTGCCCAGCAAAGGGCGCTAGCGGAATAGCTGGAGGAGGTTGGAGGTCTGTTTCGGGGAGCATAGTTCCCATGCAGCTACGCAATTCGTTTCATTTGATTAGTGGCCATTGATTACGACGCACAGCAACGACAACAAGAATGCAAAGCAGGCAACGGGCAATGTCCGGCCCCGCTGGCATGACCTCCAGCTTCAAAGGCTGCCTGTTTACCCTATCCAGTGGTGGGCAGCAAGGGTTACCGGGTGGGTGGGGTAGGGGGTAGGGCGAGTGAGGGGCAACTCCAACCAACAAAATATTTTAATACGGTAATTTTCGGGCTTAAAGTAATTACGAAATACACACTCACAGAGTGGAGAGAGAGAGTGAGAGAGAGAGAAGGAGAGAAGTATCCGGAATTGGGGCTGAGGCGGGGGCTGCTGCTGCGGCGCCTGCCCTGGCTGCCGGCAGCACAAGCTTCTCTAATAGCTAAGAAATTAATTTTCAGAGAAAGCTATTAAGAGAGTCACAAAAATGGCTCAAATATAAAACCAAACAATGCTCATAAATGCGATGGTAAGGGGGGAGGGGGCGGTTGTTGGCAGGAGTGCAGCGCCAGGGCCAAAGCATGTGGGCGTTGCTAGCAGTTTCAGCTGGGGAACGAGGTCACAATGGAAGCAATTCGCTGTCTCGCTCTAGCGCTGTCTCCTGCTGGACTTTAAACGTTTTAATTAATGCGCGCGCGTGTGTGCGTGTATCTCTGTGTGTGTGTGTGTGTGTGTGTGTGTGTGTGTGTTTGTGTCAGCAGCTTTGAGTAATGAAATTGCGACACAATCACGAGCCGCATCCTTATAAATAGACAGGCGTTCAATGCAAACAATGCGCAGGCAGCCAAAGCGAGCGAGATGACAAGACAGACAGACCGACAGACAGACAGACAGAGAGAGGGAGAGAGACAACGAGCGTAATATGTAAATGCCATTCAAATTACATACATACATATTTAATCATCATAATTATGTGTATGCAGCTACAAAAGGCGACAGCGAACATGTCATTAAACGCCTTCCAACAACAACAATAACAACAACAAATGGTTTTATAGCTCGCCAAATGCCCAACGCTTGAGGAATTAATTAAAAATTAAATGGCCTATTCAAATTGTTATCGAGACGCGGCGACGCCGCCGCCGCTGTCGCCGCCAACAGCGGCCATTTAAGTGGCAAGCAAATGCGCTGCTTGTGAAAATAAAAGCCCAACACACACACACACACACACACACACACGCGAGCGCGCGCGGGCAAGCAAGAAATTGCCAAATGGCCGCAGCAGCAATCACTCAGTGCCCAGTTGGGGCGTGGCAGCCGGGCTCGTAAAACGTTGAATGCGCTTGTGACATTGCGAAGTGACGTCAGCTTCGCATAAACATGTCAAAACATGCATAAAAAGCCAGCGGCAAGAGGAAGAGCGGCGAACACTGGATGTCCAAACATGTTCGACAAACAAACCCGAAACAGCGCGAAAATCAACAGCAGCAAGCTGATAGATAGCTGAAGAAGCAGGGAGTGAGAGAGAGAGAGAGAGAGGGGGGATCGTAAGGAAGAGAGAGCGCAGGAGAAAGGGGCCATCAAGTCGTTAAAATCATCGTAAAACAGTTTGTCTAGTGGCTACACTAATTTGACCATGTCTCGACTGGTATATCAGTTTTGGAGCTACAACAGCATGCAGTATAACAATAGGAATGACGACATTTGTTAGCCACTAAAATGTATAACAGTTTTCATATATATAAACAGCTCTTGTTAACTACACAAGCGGTAAGCACGTATCAACGGATCAGTATAACAGTTAAGCATGTAACCACGAATCTAACATTAAGTGTCAGTATAACAGTTTATAGGTAATTTCTCTTTAGTATTCTGATCGAGTATAACAGTTTTTACAATACTTTTCACTTTTACAGCTGCAAAACAGTATAACAGTGGTCATTATATAACAGTAGATACAACAATTATGATCTGTATAACAGTTGCAAAAAATATTCTTAGTAGAACAGATGCGAACAACGCTTAGTTGAAGCACCGCGTCAACCATTGCCTAACGGTTTTGCTGAGTGTAACAGTAGGTACAACAATCATGATATGTATAACAGTTGCAAAAAATATGCCAAGTAGAACAGTGCTTCAATAAGTGTATAACAGCATACTTATGTTTACACAACAATCGAGCTAGTACGCGCATATGAAATGAGTAAATTTGTTTGTATAACACTTTTCTTGCCAGCAAATTTTGCGCACTTTTTTATGCCGAAGCGCACACACACACACACACACACACGCACACTCACAGAGACGCTTAACGAATAGTTTTCAGCTGCGCTTTGCAGTTTTCTGAACAATTTGTCAGCATGCAGGAGGTTAAGAGTGGCGTGGTAGGAATGGAAGCGGGGGGTGGCAACCATGTGACAGAGTGGCCACTCGAAAGGCGCTGGCAACGCTGGCAAAGGCAAAATGCTTCAAAAGCTAAAGGCATGCGAATTGTTGTTGTTGTTGTTGTTGTTGTTGTTACGGTTGTTGCTGTTGTTGTATTTGTTGTTGTTGCTGTTGCTGCTGTTGCAGACTTAACTTTTGTGGATGTGATGGCATTATAAAGCATTGATATACAACTATATTGAAAGCGGCTGCTCTTGATTGGCAAAAATTGGTAGTGTGCACATAACTGGCATTTACAGGGACACCCCCACCACCTACCCGTCCCACTCCAGGCAGCGCCCGTTCCTACCCATTGCCGTGCCGCCAACAGGCTTCGCAGAGACCTACAGCCCCGCTTTGAGCACAAAAGATTGATGGCCTGCAGTAAGCTAAAGCAGCAGCTGCTGGGCTGTAGATGAAAAACTGCAGGGAGTCCGGTTGAAGGCAAGCCAAAGACAAACGAGTAGCGGGGGGGTTGGAAGACGGGCTGGGATAATTCCTTGCTTGCATATGTAAGTGCGACACATATCGAGCCGGCTACTCGCTCTGATACCCTGAACCCATCGAAAACGGGCACAAAGTGTTGCATGCTCTGGTGCAAGTGTTTGTTGCAAACAGCAAGAAAGAAGCTTCATTCGCGATGACGAGAATGTCTCCGTGTTCGTCATTCTGTCATTCCGTCTGTGCAAGCTACCCGATCTTGGCAGTTACAAATGCAGCAGAAGGAGATTACCATCTTTTGCAATATCGATAAATATCGACCCATTCAAGAATGTGTGACTGCGAGAAGAAGCAGCACAGCACGAGAGTGAGCTCTCTTCATGTTTGTAACGACAGCTAGCGCTAGTTTCAGGGTATATGCTAGTCGGTTACTTTCGACACTCTTACTAGTTGTTGTTGTCCTTGTTCAACAGCAAAGACATTAAAAACTGAGCGCAGCTTGTCAAGCTGGGCGGGGCCAGCGGCGCATAAAGTGTTGAGTGCTTCGTTATGCGCTTGTCTGGGTGTGTGTGTGTGTGCGTGTGTGTGCAGTGTGTGTGCGTGAGTACTGTGTGTGCAGTGTGTGTGTTTGCTCTAGAATATGGCGTAGGCGCTGTCCTTGTCCGCGGGTCCTGCAAAATCGTTCGCATCAGCAAAATGTTGACTTATCTGCGATTGTTGCTGCCGTCGCTGGCGTGTTGTTTGCTGTTGGCGTTATTTGTTTTATATTTGACACCATATACGCCCCGGCACACACACACACACACACACACAGACACATAATAGACACCCACGCAACGTTCAGGCTATAAAAATGAGTGCGAATGTCAATTGCAATAAAATAAAATAAACTGCCGCGATTTTGCACACATAACAAGGGGCAACAACAGCAAAAACAACAACAACAATGCGAACAACAATGGAAACAACAACAACAACAACAACAATAGCAAACAGTTGGGGTCAAGCGATTCGAATGGGTGACCGGCCATAGATTTTTGGCGGCACGTGTGGCAAATTATAGTTGCCACTCAGCCAACAACAACAGCAACAACAGCAACAACAACTACAACAGCAACAACAGCAACAACAACAATAACAGAAATTACAACAACAAACGCCAACGCATACAAATTGTGTAATAATAATATTACATATTACATACAACAAAACGTGACGGCTGTCATAGGTCAGTTCCGATGTCTGGAACTGGGGCAGGGTCCAGAGGAGAATGCGATGAGAATGTGCGTTGGGGCGAATGTGGAATATGTGGAGGGGTAATGGAACTGGCGAATGTTGGCAGCTGCAGCTGTCATCCATTTTGCGGCAATCGTATCATAAACAATTGGCCAGCAACAAAATGTTTAATCAAGTTGTTTAATATTAAATGGCAAAGCGACAGTCTGGCAAATAAGTATGCGCCCAGACACGAGCCATATTTGCAGTCGATCAAGTGGGGCATCAACGACAAGGGGGAGAGAGAGTGAGAGTGAGAGAGATTGAGTGAGTGCGAGAAAGGAACTTAGAAAAAAACGTAGTTTTAAGGAATTTCAAATGATTGGCTTTGTCGAAAGAGACTTCGAACAAGTTTAAGTTAAGCAAAAAGAAATGAGAGTATACTTTTAAGAAACGATTATTTCAAATATGCCAGAGAGAGTCGTAGCTAATAAGTGTGGGAAAAGAAATAGAATATAAACGTTTTGACAAATCAAAGAAAATAACACTAAAATAATAAAAAACATTGCAGGGTATATAAAGTTTCCCCTACAATATTTAAAACAGAACTGGAAGCTGACTTAAACGAAGTTTGGTTCGATTGACATTCATAGATCAAAACAGAATGTTTGCGCGAGTTGAGCAGGAAGGACAAACTGGCCGCAGGATAGGGACTCCAGCAGGTAAGTTTTCACCTTAACTATAAAAAAAACTAGTAAGAGGTTCTAGTCGGGAGCTGCCGACTAGGGGATACCCTGAACCCTCTTCTTCCAACATCAAATGCATATATATATTCTATTTTAGAAGCCATATGTCAAGTTTGGTGGCTCTAGCTCTTATTATTTACCAAAATTGCCCAAAAAACAGGATATTGATATCGATTTTTATCGAATGCGTGGAAACTGAGTAAGTTATCGATTATCGATAACAAACTCGATTTGCGCAGGCACCTACATCTAAAATTTCAACTCTATTAGCTCTTATATGTTCTAAGATCCTAGCGTGCATACATACGGACGGACAGACAGACGGACATGGCTAGATCGACTCGGCTATTGATGCTGGTCAAGAATATATATACTTTATGGGGTCGGAGATGCTTCCTTCTGCTTGTTGCACATATACAATATACCCTTACACCAATTTTTTATAGGTTCAGGGTATAAAAAGGCACCAAAACAAATTTCCGATGCCCCAATAAGCTGTTGAAGCGCAGGCAAAAGAAATATATTTCATATTTATTTAATTCTACACAGAAACACGCTAAGCCCGAGCTCTGGGCATAGGTCAAGCCTGACTGGACTTACCCAAAAGATTTCACTTTAAGCGCTGGTGCGTGTCTAAGCTGTGTTCGAAGCGTTGGTGCGTGTCTATGCTTAAGCTAATTGCACAATGGACGTACGAAATTGCAATGGAACAGAAATAACAAGAGCAGCAACAGGCCGTAGCCACATGCCACTTGCAAGGCCTCAAGGATGCTTCAAACTCTGGCCACACCTACAGGTAAGACAGCTGGTGTCTGTATGCCTGTCTATGTGTGTGTGTGTGTGTATGTGTGTGTATGTGTGTGTGTGTGTGGGTGTGACTGTGTGTTTTTGTCTGTGTTAGGTGCTCAGTGTGCATTCATGCATAACGCTAATGCGCTTTAAGATGTGCGTCAATGAATGTTAAGCGGAAACATGGGGCGTCCCAAGCAAAATGTAAATAACAGCAAACAAATAAATACGGCTGTGCACGACCCAACTCGGATTTCCATTCATTTTCCACTCAATATAGCGAATTCGTTAAAAATCGGATACGAAATTACTTATTATCCTCCTCCTTCTTCTTTACTTGACTTCATTGAAAACAATAAGCAAAATCGGATGCCCATTTTCACCCAAAGAGGTGAATCAAACGAAATGGCTGAGAAATGCTTTAAGTGAATTCTGAAATAGTTCTTAAAAGAAGAGCTGTGCAGTCACTTACCAACTATTGTGTCAAGCTTAAAGTATCGCTTTTATACGTTAAAAGAACTGGCCGGAACGTTTCAAATATGTCGCAAGTTAATCGGACGATTAATTTTCCACTCAGTGCGGGGAATAACATACAATAATTTGATTTGAATTCACATGCGAAACTTTAATACAATATAAAGTTGGGTTTATAGCAATGAGAGGGAAGCCCCAAAAGGGGCCCAATACACAAAATTCCACCCGTTTTCCGCCAAATGCGTGTGGAGCATACGATTCGGTAGAAACAGCTCTCCGGGCATAGAATATGCATATATGAATAATAAAAAGAGTCAATTGAATGATTTGCAATTCGCAACGCTCCTAATTGACCCCAGACAATTGGGCTGCGAGCGGTGCGAAGCAATGCAAATTAATTCTAATCAATTTATAATAAGCAGCCAAAACAGGTGAAGGGTAAACAAATTTGTGGGCCCGACTGCGGTGCCGGCAGGCGCGGCAGTGTCGAGAGTGCAATGCCAATAACTGGATTGTCGCTGACACAGTCATAATTACATTATGTTAACAGACCTGCGGGTGAGAGCAAGGGCTGTGCATGGATGTTGGCTCGGGCAGACGGAGTTGGTCATACGCACACCCGCACACACGCACACACGCACATACTCATTAAAGCCGCAACACATGGCTGTCAGCAATTCTGCAAGGCATAAATCAAAACGGCGACACATTGTAGCTCAAAGTGTGTGAGTATGGGCCGCGTGTGTGTGCGTGCGTGTGTGTGTGTGTGTGTGTGTGTGTGTGTGTGTGTTTGTGTGTGTGTGTACGTACTCAATAGAAACGCATTTGCCGGCTGCGTAGATGTTTATATTTATGCGCATATGTGTTAATTTTATTACTTTACAAACACTCTGCGCCAAATACACAAAATTCATTGGCATACATGGCGTATACGCGATATTAATTTGCCATAATCTCGACTCGTTTATTAGCGCAAATAAATTGAAATTGTTATTGGGCCGGCATTGTTGCGGCGCAACCATGAATTATATCATTTCGTTCAGCTCTGGCTACGTCAATGTCATTCGTTAAAGCCGCTAAAAAATTATTGCAGCACCAAATGCGATGTTTTTTATGCATTTTGGTACGCAACCAAAATGAAAATAAAAAGGAAACACACATTTGAAAATGTGAAACACATCTGCCCTTAAACATATTATTTATAAATATTAAATTCTGGCTTGTGCCCGAAAGCTTAAATTGTTTATTCTCAGTTGGTGTATCGCGTTTTTATCGTCTTTGTATCGCCTACATACTTTCGCAACTTTGTGCAACTTCTCGATAATATTATTGCAAAATAATTGTATATATTAGATATGGGATTCGGGTTATTTCTATCGATGGGTGCCAAACTTATTCATGCTTTGCTTTGGGTCTACCTTGAAATTTTGTAATTCCAAACAAATCCTTTTTGAACAACTTATGTTTGGGTTATGTATTAAAAATAATTAGAAATCTTGATTCGACTTAAAAACGCTTTGAATCAGCTTCGCCAGGGCGAAAAGTTGACAATAACGCACATTAATATATTGGGCATAAAATAGGCAAACAAAATAAATAAATAAGCCGGAAATTACAATAAAAAAAAGAAGTGAATTGAATTAAATTGGCTGCTGCTCAAGTGATTTAGTGCTGGGAAAAGAAGCACAGCTGTCGCTTGGTTACGGCCGTGTTGCCACCTGGGTGCAATCAATCAGCCAGCGAAAGCTTTTAAATTGCATAAACGGCTCATTAGATGTGGCTGCCACAAAGCTGAATCTGTGCATTGTCTTCCACAAAGCTGGTTGCAGAGCTGAGCTCTGAGCAATTGAATAGGAGAGGGCAACAAGATTTGCGAGCAGCATTTTATAGATTTAACGTTTGTGTGTGTGTGTGTGTGCGTTTGTTTAGGTGGGTGTGTGTATGAGTGTGTGTGTCGTGTGTGTGTATTTTAACTGCGACATTGCACTTAAGTTGTTTGGCGTCTAGCTAGCGGCACGGCGTCCATAACTTATGCCTCAAGTACGGCTGCCCCAAAAAGTAGGCAATGAAATTTGTTTTATGTGCCAATTGCTGACAAACGCAGCGGCCATTAGGCACACAGCCAAGTCAGGCCGACAGACAGACAGACAGACAGACAGACAGATCGACAGAAAGACAGGCAAGCAGCTTATCAGACAGTTAGTTAGTCAGGCATTAATTTGATTGAACAATGGGCCAAGACCAGCAGGCGGGGGCGTGGCATCGAGCAGCAGTCAGCATCAAATTTTAATTGAAAGGTGTGCGGGCCAAGGGACTCGTGACAGTCAGGCCATTGAGGCCATTAAAAAGAGCTCAGAAACAGGCTAAAGCCAATCGCACGGTTCGCCTGAAATGCGCATAATGAGCAAATGCCACACGGTAATCGATTTGAGTTAACCAATTCTGGGGGCCCTAATAGCCCTAGACCCTACCCCCGATTACAGTTTTTAGCATTGGCTCTGACTGCGGCTGTGGCTTTGCCAGCTCCTTGCGGCTGGCCTAATGCCAGTAACGAACGGGCCAACAAGCGTGTGCTTAAGCCGACTACAATATACCCTAGATGATGTGCAGCTAGCAAAACGACAAAAAAATGCAATATGAATGAATTGCTGGTTCGATACTGCCTGCAGTTAGTTCCGGTTCGAGAATCTAGTTGTTCGAAGCCATGAGACCAGATTTTCTCTCAAAACTCTAGCTCTTCACATCTGGCATATGATATATGAAAAAATATATACACTATATGGGCTGGCAGATGTTACCTTCTGCCTGTTACATACATAAGCCCAGCTCCACGCTACCCTCTATGCACATTATTAATGGGTATAGGATAAAACAAATAACAACAACTTTGAGCTGCAACTTTTGGCAACACACCAAGGTGCGGTCAGGGGCGCCAACGGTAAGCCAGGGGGCTGCAGGGAGGCTAGCAAATAATAACTCAAGCTCGATTTAGTTTTTTTTTTTTATAACATGTGTGTGTGTGTGTGTGTGTGTGAGTATTGTGCGCGTTTGTATTTGGCCCTTAGCAATTCCCCAGACGCTGGCTATTTATTATATTTATAGAAAATACATTAACTCGGTTTTAGAGCTGCGACAGCGACTGATGGTAAACGGCGGCAAGAGGCAAGATTAACAGCGGATTGGGGGACGGGGTTAAGCATAAAAACAATCAAAATCCCTACGACCAAACGCATTCTGCTTAAATTGTTTCATAATTGATTGATCTGCAGGAGGAAGCAGCACACACACACACACATACACACATTAAGATACAATACAAGATACAATCAGTCTGATATACAATTACAATATGGCGTGGGGCAATGGGGGGATTGAACAGCTTAGGCACTTCAATGATTGCTTTCGGGGCTGCGGCTTGGCTGGTGAGTTCTGGCCCGAGCCAAAACCGGGCCAAGCAACTGCCCGGTTCGGTAACATATGTGTCCTGGTTTTATTAATACCCTAAGTCCATAGACAGCGTGTTAAAGGGCATAAAGGGTTTGTGTATAAATATGGAGAACTTGACTTCCCATAATATATATATATATATTTATATATATATTCCCAATCAGGCTGACAAGCTGAGTCAATCTAGACATGCCTCTTCGTCTGTTCATCTATGTGAAAAGCTGGAGGCTTTTTATTAATCTTTTGTTTGATATCGAATATTCGTTATTCGAATGTTTCACTTTTTTGTATATATCTCTCTATTCCCCCTAGAATTGGAATACCCTTCATTCTTAGAGTGGACTTTAGATACTAAAGTTAATCAATATCGCATTTCCCAAAGAGGAAATAGCTAAATAGCTTTTAAGTTCGCTTTTGCCATATGCGCCAATTGTGTGTCTTTAGTTGAAGGCTGGGAATATTTGTAAGGGCATGTTGCCACTGGACCTAGGGTATCTACAAGTCAGCCACACTCGACTAGAGCACTTAGTTTTTTTTTTTTTTTATTTAAGCCTAGCTGCCAACCGCAGAACATTTGCTTCGCTGTCTGATGTCAAAATAATTTCGATGACGCCCTCAACACAAACGGAGCGTACAACTGTATGGGCGAGAGGTGATTGGCGAGGGGCGAGGGGCGAGGGGCGTGGAGCGGGGTGCTACGGCTAGGGGCCATCGAGTTGAGTTATTTAGACAGATTTTTGATAGCCGGCGCCTTTTGCCATGAAACGCGTGCCTGAAATTGAGTTTTGATTTGAAACCCAATTTCCCAAAAATGCGATGCGCCCGACCGTTGACACTGCGACAAATGCGACTTCGATGTGGCCGATTGCCACAATTCGATTGATTTCACAGCACATTTGTTTGTTCCGCCATAATCGTGCAACTATATATATAGCTATATATATACATATATATATATTTATATAAAGGTATTTATATGTATGCCCTAAATGCTTTGGGCACTCGCTGCTTTTGATGTTTCCTTGCGTTTTGCTAGCTTTAGTTAATGTATCGAAAATGTTTACAACCACAGCGACATGTGTGTTAGTCTGTGCGTGTGTGTGTGTGTGCTTGTGTGCTTGTGTGTGTACAGTTGCCACTTGACAGCGCTCGTGCCAGGCGTGTAATTAATCTGAGCTGCATAACATCGCCTAGTCGCCAGTACGGAAAATATTTGTTCGCTGTCCTGAGCATTAAACGGTCCTCGGCGACCTGTCGCAGGGCGAGTCCCTTACCTGTCATTGTCAGGCAACAATTGGCACCTCGTCGCATCATCAGCAGCTGGCAGAGGGCGCAATGGTGTCGCCTTTCCCAGCCATGCGTGGCACACACTTGTTTCGCCCGATAGATGGGCTTGATGCTTGTAATTCGCAACAAGTTAAAGACATTGACACAAGTCCAATTTTCACTGATCCACAATATACACATATATAGACATATATGATTTGCATGCACGGCCCAATTACTGGGGCATTAATATATATACGATACGGCCTTTTGGGCTGGACAGACAATACAGTTATATATAAATAGGTTGCCTAGGCTGCCAGGAGCAAAGTGTGTTCCATGTTGTAATTCCTTTTGGCATTTGTGACCTACAACGGAATTTACACGCCCGAAAGTCGAATGCTTGTATGAGTGAGATAGTCCGATGGCCGCAGCATAGCGAGCGAGAGCGGTTGTGAGTGAGAGTGCGGTAAATTAATGATATTTTACATACATCTTAATTGCGTGTCGCTGGCTTTTTGTTGGCGCATCCTTCGGGCCAATTGGCCGTCCCGGCCCGGCCCGGCCCGGGCCTGGCCCGAAGTGCCTGTCGACGCTCTGCGCTTGTCAGCCAAATTGCTTAGCCCTCGAGCTGCTTATAATTTATTGAAAGCGCGGCGCTGAAACTGGGCCTATAAACCAGCCAGTGCCACGCCCCTCGCCGCCCTCGCCATACAGTCCTGTCGCCAATTGGGGGAAATTGCAAAATCAACGCGCTCGTAAATTGAAAAATGTTGTCAAGTGGGCGGATATCGAGCAAGCAAAAGGAAAAAAAACAATTAACAGAGCTCGAGTCGGGCGCGCCCGACTAGAAGATACCCTGCATACTAAACTATAGAAAATCTAATCGAAATCCATTTGACATCCTCTGGCTATCTAAAGCTTCACAATATGTTCAAAGAACCTAATCTAAAAATCGATATTTATCGATTTCGCGTCGTTGAGCAATCGATCTAAACGTCCTCAGTCAGATATGGACGGAAGTCGGAGATGCCTCCTATTACATAAATTTCCACACAACCATCATACCCTTTTGGGGCACATTTGCAATAGGTGCAGGTTATAAAAAAAAAAAAGAAAAAAAGACAAGAAGAACAACAAGAGCAGAAACAAAAATATAGACGAGGCTTGGCCTTTACCCGCCCGTTGACAGTTTGTTAATTAAAACCAGCAGCCGCTCAGGCGGCGGTCAACTGGTCATCCAGTCATCCAGTCATCCAACCAGTCGGGCCGGGCCGCTGTGCACTGAGGCGCTCAGTCAACGTCTCAAACGCACACACTCAGATCCAGCCACGCGCTCTCGTCATTGAGCCCCGACCCAGGATGTGGAGGACTGAGCTGAACCGATTCGTGATGCGAACAGAGCTCTGCAGTTGGCAGACGGAAAACGTCAGCAGTCCGAGTGCTAATAAATTGCCCAGCAGTCGACTGGGAGCTGACACTAAGGGGCACCATGCTGGGTAGGAGGTGTGATGGGAGGGGACTGTTGCCCAGTTGTTACTCACCTATCGTTGTAATTAATGTCAGGGAGTAGAGAAAGGCCGAGGCGTAGGTCCATTTGTGCGTCGGTGCATTCATTTGCACGCCGCCGGGCTGATATACCTTCGATTGGCGTACCGCACGCAGCAGAGTGTCCTGCAAGAATGAAGCAATCCACAACACACACACACACACACACGCGCACGCAAACATATTTGCAAATCAGTTTGGAATTTCAGCTGGAAGCTCAAGCGTACACTCACCTGAAATAATTGCACCTCCTGGGCGGCCAAGCGTGTCCAGTTCTCCTTGTAGAGTATATTGAGATCCTCCGTTATTGACCAAAGTCGATCAACAGTTCTGCAATAATTGATTGAATGCGCACAGTTATAGTTAATGCGATTTCATTCCAAGACAACTGTAACGCACCTGGAACGTATCTCGGCATTGGCCAGCTCGGTGCGCGGATATGGCTTAGACGCGGCCACAGCTGTTTCCAGTGCAGTCGCATCCTCCAGCTCGCCCTCGAGCGTTACGAATATTATGGAGCCCATTGCCGTGTAGAGCAGTACCAGCAGCAATACACCTAAGAGGCAGATAGAGCAAGCGAGAGAGAGTGAGGAAGAGGGCAAGATATCATATATCCTTTGTTGATGAATTAATATCTTACTGAACTAAGCTTGATTTCATAATTGCTGTCAGCATTCTTTATTTCATATTCGAAATCTTTCTTTTTCCATATTCCTGGAATACCTCTGCATGGGAAAGGGGGACAAAGGTTGACTTCAGTCAAATATATCTCCAGATCGATAAGTTTTGATTCTCAGTCGATCATATCTCAGAGCTAGATCTTATAATCTTATAGTTTACCGAGTTTATTTATATTCAACTTATATGCTTGCAAGTCTACGTTCTCGCTTAAACTGAAGAAGCACTAAATATATTGCACACATTTGTACGCCATATTTCAGCTCTGAAAGTTTCTCAGGAATTGGCCTACAAACAACAAAGTTATGAAAGAACGCGTTTCCCATAGTGCGGGGGGGGGGCAAGGAACGAAGAAGAAGCATAACCACTGCGTAAAGTGCGCAGCTTGCGGCGTTTATTACTTGTTTTTGTTTTCGGTGTGTGTAGCAGAAAGTTTGAATGTGTGCATCCACAGCTCCTATCCACAACCACTGCAACTGACTCCGTATTGAATCAACAGGGCTTGGAATTGGACGCAACTGTGCAGCTGACATTTGGGGCAGGAAGTGGAGAAGGAGGAGGGGTTACTCACCTGTCGCTGATATGCAATGCGATTTGGGCGCCTTTTGGCAACCGCAGAGGGCGCTGCTGCTGATGCTGCCATTGCCGTCCCGCTGTTTGTCCGCCTTTGCTGTGGACGAAGCGGATCCACTGCCGCTGCCGCTGCCGCTGCCACTGCCGGCGCCGCCGGATGAGCTGCTGGCGCCCTGGGCGCCATTTGTAGCGCCGCCTGCGAAGCACATGCTTGAGCCGCTCTGGCGACCGATACGTGAATTGCCGCCAGCCACGTTGCCAGTTGCTGGGCAACTGTTGTTGTTACTGTTGTTGCTGTTGTTAATGCTGGTGAGAAAGGAAGCCAGCGGCAAAGAGGACTTTTTGTTCATTGCCTCACGCGCTGCTGGTCAAACGAACTGGCGCGCCCCGCTTGCTGCCGCGCCAATTGCTGCGGCAGACAATCAATCAGGCCTAAAGCCTGCCCTCGGCTGGGCAATGAGCGAATGACCAAACGATCAAATGGCCAAATGAGCGAATGACCAAATGACCAAATAACCGAATGACCGAATGACCGATTGAGCGTATTGCAATCAAATCAAAAGCTTTGGCACGTCATGTGGCACGTAATTTGCATCCTACCTTCTTCTGCGCCTCCGTTTGGCGTTTACCGCTTTTGTCGCTTCGCGTTATTATGTGACCGTCATAAAATGTTGTCGACAGCAATGAAAATGTTGTCGTTGTTCCTGTTGTTCCTCTTGTTGTTGTTGTTGTTGTTGTTGTTGTTGTGATTTTTATGATGCTCGGAAATGTTTTTGGGCGCTGTGACAAAAATTGTCGCCGGATGCTGCAAATGCAAAATATTTTCGTGAAAAACTGGCAAAATGAAAATGAAAATTGCGATTCTGGGCACTCGCAAACAAACACGCCAACACACACACTCACACACACGCACACACATGTGCTATAGACAAATTGCATGGGAAATGCGTAATTGAGTTAGCAAGCAGCAGGGGAAGTTATTTTACCCGCTAGCGTATTAATCCGACACATCTAATACCCTACAGCAATGCCAAAACAGAAAAAGAGTCTTGCCAATCAGAACTGCGCATTAACTGAGTGTTGAACAACACTGCAGAGTTTGTTACAGCTAAAAATGTGACACAGTGTGAAAAGTTTATGAAATAGTCGAAACTCTGGAAATTATATATTTATTTTTCAAAATTTTCTATAGACCATTAGCATTTTTATAAGTTCAATGATATTAGTAAACGTGGTGTCAGAGTGTTGCACAGTTTTACATAAAAAAGTGTTGCACAATTTTCGAAAAGTTTGTGAATTTCCTTTCCAAAAACTGAAATAATGTATATCAATTGAAATTTGTTATAACTTTCTAAAATTTTCATAAATTTAGAGGACAAGCGGATTAAGTGTTGCATAATTATGCAAAGTTCGCTAGGGACAAAATATGACTGAGTGCTGCATAATTTTGAAAAGCTCAAGAGTTTATGTGCATATTATTAGCGAAATGTTTAAATATTGTATTTCGGTTAGATTGCCAAAAGAATCCATCTTTAACATAGAAACAGGGCATAGTTCCAGTTAGCTTTGACATTTTAATATAAAATCAAAATATTAGGACACAGATCTTATTGTCAGCTTCAAGTTCATAGTAGTTAACTGACAGTTAAGTTTTGAATTCCTTCACTCTAAGCTCTAGTCAACTTATATCACAATTCGTTGTGCCTAGTTTGACAATCGCCTGCCAAATTTTGTCAGATAGTTCGCTGTCGTGAAGAACCTAACGAACAGCTTGATGAACTGATATTAAAATTGAAATAACAAAAACAGATTCAGTTTGACAACATGTTAAAGTGCCTGTCAAAAGAAGAAAATAGAATAAGCGGGGGCGCATCGAAAGCTCTCTAGCTTTAGCTTATCATCTTTGAGTGTGAAGAAGCTTTATCATAAAAAATAGACACGTAAATGAATATGTTTTCTACTTTAATTATTTTTACATGTGTTATTATCATAAACAGGAGAGGAGCTTGAAAGGCTTTAAAACAATTCACAAGCCAATCTCTAAGATCTTGTCTCGTGCAAAGTTAATGTGCCCGCTGCGTGGCAAGGGTATGAAAAAATAATAACAGCAGCTGCAACAATATGTGTGCCCTTTCGTGTATGTGACTGTGTCTGTGTGTGAGTGTTAGTGTGTGTGTGTGTGTGAGTCGTGGGTGTTGCTGTCGCGTTATCTGATGAACATGAAGATGGCCGGCATTTAAATTAAAGATTGCCCGACAAGCACAAACAAAAAGTTGTCGAGTTGCTGTGGCCCACAAGTTGTTGTTGTTGTTGTTGTTGTTGTTGTTGTTGTTCGTGTGTGTGTGTGTGTGTGTTTAGTGTCGTTGTTGTTGTAACTGTTATTGCCAAGAGCACGTGTGTTGCCATTTTCATTCAGGCCAAATGGCACTTCAATTAGGAGCCAGTTAACATTTTGTGTGCTTATGACTTGCATTTTTGCTGGCTCATTCGCAATGCTAATTATGAAAGGCCGCCGCATAATCACGTCACGTTTTCACACAACACCCAACACGCGCGCACACACACCCGCACACACACACACGCGCACACACACACACTATAAACGGGTTATGGGCAAGAGCCGAGCGGCAGATTTGCGGATTATTGAAATGATAGGCGTAAAGTGAATAACGGCTATAACGAGTCGTATTAAATGAATCAAACGAATTAACAGCGTTTACCAGCATTCATTTTATTCACAAATCAATACACACACACACACACGTACACACACACACATGCAATTACATGCATTGCATATGCATTAAGCATTAATTGCGTTTAAAATTCAGTTGAAAAATCATTTTATAAAGCATTGGCCATATCGAAAGCTGTTTGTATATCACATGTGCTGATATTGTTAATCTGTCTTCTATATGTATATATATATATATATATATATATATATATATATTTGTATATATAAGTATCGATATAAATATATGTGCATAATGTATATATGGTAGATGCATGTGTGTGACAGCAATCTCTGTGCAGCTATAAGCCGCTTAAGTCTTGCACGGCAATCAGCCGAAAGCTGTGGCCCATTATTGCTCGCTAATAAAGCAAACACTTTGGCACTTTAACAGTCAATCAATCGATCAAAGCGCTTTGAAAGTCATTAGAAAGGATTTCAGTGTTGATATGTCGAATAAAATAGAAAGGGACACATTCTGGGACAAAGCTAAGCACAACAACCAGCTTAGGCATAGACTAATGAGTCTATCAAAAGAAAACAGTATTTGTTTTAAAGACTACAGCTTAATCCCTAGGCCAGAGCTGTGCGCCACAAATGAAGCCTACGATTTTGTGCGCTCTTCGAAAAGCTCTTAGCTACAAACCTTGAGGTAAGCTTTCCTTGAACAATCGTAGGTGCCAAGATTGCTGGATTGTCTCATTTGAGAACATATTTTTCTCTATACGAGCTAGAAATGCCAAATTTGACATTTGATAGTTTAATTAATAACTGCAATAAGTGCAACATTTGCCCTCAAATCAAATAAGAATTGGGCTAACATAACTTTTGCAAACTATTTATATTTCAATTATAGTTGGACATAGTCTTTTTTAAGGGTATTCGATATTCGGTTATACGCAAAGGCAAAGCCAAGCGTCTGCATTTGACTCTGAATAACTTTGCGATCTATGGACATGAAAGATTACAAAGCTTCGTCTTTTTATGCCAATATATATATATATATATACACATGTTTTGTCTGCATCGGCCAGATCGAACTACTCAACATATAGCTACCGAAGGGAATGATTGCTCAAAAATTAGGTTCTAGCTCAACAATTCAGGCCTTTAATACATAGGATTTATCTGGAAACGAACATACTTACTTCTGTGTCAGACATAAGCAGGTGTATTTTGTTTCTTGAGTTCCTGCCTATCTGTGTCTATCTGTTTGCCTGTCTGTCTGTCTGTCTGTCTGGCATAATCTTGAGTGCTGGCAACGGCATCGATTTTATAAATGAGCACCTTCCATTTATGTCGATTAGCGTTTTCGCTTCAACTTCGCATTCGTTTGGGCCTCGGCTTAATTCAAAGGGAACTCAACTCGCTTCAGTGTTTGCAACTGGCCCCATATGACATATGGCAGCCGCATTGGCTGTTGCCCACTTTTGACAGTTGCTGCTGTTTAATCACGCCCATAGACCGAGCTACTTTCCACACCCGCTTCAACACCCCCGCATCTACAGGCCACCCTCATGCATATTGAGTGCTCGCTTCTGACATTCGATACACATTCATCGCACCTTTTTAATTGCTGACATTTATTGAACGCTTGCCGTGTGTTAAATCTACCGTAAGCACACAGCAGAAAGCACCTGAATGGCGCGTGTGTGCATGTGTGTGAGCATGCGGGTGCTTGTGAGTGTGTGTGTGTGCCTTTGACTTAAGTGCAAACTTATGCCAATTATGTGCAGCTTTTGCCTGCCATATAGCTCTGTCCCCTTGCCGCCACAGCTCTGCCATGAAACTTTACACACACAAAGAGTAGGCAAGGGGTGTAAGATGACAGAGTACAAAAATCATAGGTAGCACGCTTTAGTAGGTAGTGCCCGACTAGAAGATACCCTAAGTCCAGCGACATGCTGCTGCTTAAAGCATTTTAACTACATTCGGCACAAACATAAAAACACACATACGCACACTTCTTCTTTCCCTTGCAACATACCATGCATGGTCAATGCGGTGCTTAATGTCCGATCCTTATTCAATTTTTAAAGTTAAAATATGGCATGCAAAAGTGCGTACATACCAAAGCGCTAGGCTCTGCCCTAAGATATAATGTGTTTTCAACTTTAGGGGAAATTGGGACAGGTATTCAAAAAATGTATTCTTTGTAATATGTCAATGCTATATGAAAATTGAAATTGTACCTCAAAATCGATTCTTATCGATTTGTTAATCGGAAGCGGTAAGTGAGAGAGAGAGAGAGAGAGAAAGATAGAGGCAAAAGAGAGAAGTCTTTAGTTGTCGAGATTGAGGCGTTCAAACAAATGGATATTCTTTGTTATTTATTACATATTTATTATGAAATTTTTCATTATTCATCACGAATTGTTATATTATGTATTAGTCATTGTTCATTATTTATTACTCGTTATTGGATTTTCATTATTCTTTATTCATAACTCATTATTTATTGTTTGTTTATTTATGGTCGAAAAAACGAGAAGAAAAAAAGGAAAGATTTTACGCTAAACGCCCAAACACAATGCATAAATTTCTATTAACATGAGCGACACGATGGGGTTAGTTGATGTACCCATCCGGCATGACTAGATCGTTTTAAGCTTGTTCGCCTGTTCAAGAATATATAAAAGATGTATGAGAGAGATGCTTACGTCTGGCTGCTGTCACATACATGTGCACAAAACCAATTTACCATTTTTCGCCAAGGTTTCAGGGTATAAAAAGAAAACTCAAGCAGATTACACGGATCATTAGCTCAGATGAGAAAGTTCACGTGTTCTTTTCTTCACACTAAACACGACGTCCAGCACTTAATCAAATGCAGGAGACTTTCCGGGAGACCAAAAAGCTGAAAGCAACTTTTTCTTCCTGTCGCAGATGCAGCCAGCTGCTTGCCAAGCCCTAAGACTGTCTCTCTGTCTGATTGTCCGTCCGTCCGTCTGTCTGTCTGTCTGTCTGTCTGTTTGCGTGTCTATTTGTCAATTCGTCAGTCGTTTCTGTCAGTCGATGGCTTTTCAAAATTCCAATCGCATCGCCATATTCCTGATTGAGACTTAACTTAC